CTCTCTCTCTCAGCCCCCCCCCTCTTCTTTCCATCACAAAATCTCTTACGATTGGAAAGACCCCCAGGGAGCGATAAGTTCCTCTCCAGTTCACCTGCAGGCCGGCGGTTATACCTTCACGCTTCACTCATCCTTCGGCCATTCCTGCACTTGCATCGATCTTACAATGGCAGAGCTGTGTGGGAACATCACTGCCTTAATATCACTATGTATCTCACTGAAGTAAAGACAATAAATAAAACGTAAACAAAACAAAAATATTGTTTAAAAAAAACACAATAAAAAGAGAGGGAAAAAAAGAAAGAAACTACAAAGAAGGCAAACCGAGACACATTATGAATTAATCTTCTGTAAAGAAAAGGTAAATACGGTCAAGCGCCTTCGTTATTCAACGCGACCTTTTCTTCGAGTTTATTATAAAACGTTATTCAACGCGACCTTTTCGAGTTTATTACATAAAATGTCACAGTCTACTGTTCTAAAATGTGGAGCCAGTGCATAAGGGTTTTTCAATATTCTGCCCAACAAAAAGACAAAAATCTCATTGCTTGTTTGCTTTTTTGAATAAAGAGAAGCACAATGATACAATAATTGTCAATCAGTCCTGGGAAAATGTAAGCCAGACAGACAGAAACAAAAGAGGGAAAGTGAAGAAAAATGACCTCTAGCAGTGGCGCCCTCCAACCACCCTTCAGAAATCTCAGGATGTCCGTATGTGGCTCATAAGGATTATCTTCTGTAGAATTGTGGTTAACAGTTGTATTCGGAAGCACTAACTGATTTTTTAAAACAAATCTGATTTTTTTGAATCAACGGATTTCAATGTCGGAGGGCTGATCACAAGGTCAAAGCTGCGACCTGTCAATGTTCCACTATTTTTCAAAATATTTTTTTTATAATAGAGGGTTTTACGGCGCTCGCAACTGCATAAGGTCATATGAGCGCCAAAGGGTGGGTGTCCACAGAGAAGTCTTTACAGGGAATCACGCTTACTCTGCTCACCTCTCTAGCTTCAACAGCACAAGGTCTTCTTCGACTATCAAGGCACCCCGGAAATAGCAGGTCAGAAGAGAGTGACAAACATACAAAAGAAGTAGAGGAAAATGACAATAGTAAGGATCAGGAAAGAAAAGCAGCAGTTTCCTATTGTAGATCAGGAACAGCTATGAGCGTGACATGAGTCAGCCCATTTACAATAATGTTCCACTATGAGGACGAGAACCCCCCCCCCCAGAAGATTTATATTATAGCAAGTGGCACGTTAAAACGAGCACATCAGTGGGCCAGGCAACATCAACTTTCTCTGGCTCTTCGAGGTCGCAAGCAGAAGACTTGAGTTCGATTCCCGATGGCATAAAGAGTGTATTTCTTATCTTATTTCTTTATTTTTCCTGTAACCCAATCCGTTCGTAGTGTTTTACTATCGTATCCATACGACGTGGGGAACTCTGTGCCACCACTTTCCAAAGAGGAAATTTACTCGTTAATCCGATCCGTACGCTTTACATAGCAGTCTGTCAAAATGATTTTTTAAAAGAAATACTGACATTTTTCAAAGCGATCTTCGCACTAGAATTATTCTAAAATGTGAAAAATACAACCCCGGGGGTACAAAATGACCCCAGGGTGTACGGATAGGGTCAAGAAACATTTAGTCGAAGTTCTTCGTATGTCAGCTGGGATGTTGTACTCGCTATCCAGCCTCTGAGCCTGCGTTGTCACAGAAGAGAAGGGTCGGCGCAGATTACCTCGAAGATGACCCGAACTGCGTCAATGGGAGCGTAAAAACTACAAGACTACTCTGACACCAAGAACCAGCTGATTCCCCATAAGATCTCTCGGTTTCAACAACGCTTCATTTAAGACGACACAAAATGAGCTTAGCTTACAATTAAGGAATTGCTGTAACATCCTGACTTGTTCAAGTGACACCTTCTTTGTCCTAGACATCTCCCAGGACAAGTTGGACGGGCCAGGTCTGGGCACCCCACATAAATCTGATCGATCTACAGCACTGAGGATCGCCTGCAGGGGAGGGTGCACTGGTTCAACTGCAAACATCTGATTACTGAGGGGTCCGGATGTGGTAGGGGAAAGGGATGGGTGGGTGGGAGATGGGGGTGTAGTAAAGAGAGACGGAGAAAGAAGGGGGGTGAAAGTATAATATGTGTATATACACACACCGATAGATAGACAGATAGACAGATAGATAGATAGATAGATAGATAAAGAGTGAGTGATAGATAGATGAAGAGTGATTGATAGATAAAGAGTGAGTGATTGTGAGCGCGCGCATATGTGAACACACACACACACACACACAGAGAGAGAGAGAGAGAGAGAGAGAGAGAGAGAGAGAGAGGGGGGAGGAGAGGGGAGATGGGGGACGAGTACAGATTTTTTCAAAGGATTGATGCATAGCAGACTATACGAAGGAATTGTTACGAGCTCCTGGTTTCACCTTTGGCTCAAAGATAAAGATAATAACAGTATCACTCACGGGAAAGATGACACAATGTTATGGAAATTTGTCATTTATTAGCAAACATTGTACTTTGGTGACTCGCAATGACTCGTTTCTCTTGTTCTTTAGAACGTACTGAAGGCTGAAGGGTGCTTGGTAGTGGTGTAAATAAAAATATTCCTCATACAAATTCCCTGTAACGTCAGCAATGTAGTGATCCCAAGAGGTGTACAACACTTATGGAAAACACATTTCTCTCATTTCTCGTATTGTCCTTTGTCCGTGTTTCCTGCCTGCTTTGTTTTATCGACTTTTTATACGATGTTACTGTTAATGTTGTCGGGGTTGCTTCTGCGACTGTTTTTGTTGGTGGTGCTGCTGCTGCTGCTGCTGCTGCTGCTGCCTTTGCTGCTATTGCTGTGGTGCTCTCATTCTTCTTGTTGCATCTGTTATTATTTTCGTCATTTTGTTGACTTTGTTGTTGTTGTCGTTGCTGTTATTTTTGGTTAAGGCGATTTTCTGTCATTCTGGTTCTTTGATGTTTTTATATGTATCTTTGCGTTGTTTGTTTGGAGGGAGTTCTGTTGCTACTGTTTCTTTTGGCTTGGGAGTTAATTAAAGGGTTCCAAAAAGAAAAATTTTCAAAAATACAATTGTTTCGAAATGTTTTTGTTGCTTCTTCATTTCTTGTGTGTGTTTCCATGTTCTAACTACTTTAAATGATTTCTTCTTTTGGGATTTCTAACTAATTAAACTACAACCCTGATCCTGCAATGTTCTCCCCAGATGCTACTGCCTATGCTCACTATGTCTTTAACACCTTCGACCACGACCACAATGGCTCCATTAGCTTTGAGGTAAGAAATTCCCACCTTCTCTCTCTCTCACTCTCTCTCTCTCTCTCT